CTGTGGATATACTTTCTCTGCACGTTTGATTTGTGTGGTTGTGGTCGTGCAGTGCGTCCCCTGGGGATGTCAAAAGCAGGCTTGCTTCTAGATAAGTGTTGTTTGAAAAGCTTGATAAGCTTGATGACACCCAATGTTATACAGGCAATGTAAAATATAGAAATAATCCTAAAAAGGGCACACACAGCCATAGATTGGTAACAGTTTGTATTTCAAATGTAAATGACGTATCTCCTGGCAAAAAGTAATAATGAATACTACTTGGTGATAGCAAGTTTGTAGAGGTGACATTAGACCTATATTGTAATGAAGCACAACATTGTTTGTGGATGTGGTATGATGGTATGTGTGGATTAGAGTACCGATTTTGTTACCATGGTTACCATTCTATTTCGGTATGAAATTAATGGGAACCTTGGTAACAATTAATACCGTACTTAGTTTCATAACAAGGCCGTTTATGTTTGAAGGTAATTAAGGGTGTTCAGAACGACTAGACTGTAATTGTTAATTGCAGCTCACTTCTTGAAAAATGCCTTTCCATGTTCCTGCTAACAAGACGTAGTCGTGTTTTGTTTCATGTTCCTCATATGAACACTCAAAAATCTCAGTTTTGTATCGCGCAGCCCGGACATACAACGACCAATATTTAAGTCTTGACTTGTTTAAGATATCGCGGAGTATGATTAAAATTAGTATTAAGAATATCCATTGCGCAGAAGCTTATGCATCATGAGCATACCCCACATCACACCTTCACGTACATACCCTCACTTTAACACAATCACAATAGTCAAATTATTTTTATTGTTTTGGTAAATGTTTGAACCCTTTTGCAAATATTATGTATTCCATCTTTGGCTATATTTTTAGCAATATATAATAGATTACGGACGTCATCGTATCGTTAGCCAAAAAGCGCTAAATCTCGTTCCTTAATTCCCTACAGTTTTCCACTATACAAGCGCCTTGACGTGCATAATTCAAATTCGATTTGTCTAAAGTTATACGTTTAGTAAATGAACTGATTTAATACAAATCAATACTGGAGTATTCCAAAATTGAATATCAAACGTCTTAGAAACCGCCAGCCTTTAATGTTACTCAAACATTAACATCAAACTTAACCTTGCAATAACATGAACCCGACATAAAACGTAGAGCGTGTTTTCATGCGCTTCTAACATGTTTTATAACATTCAGTTCTTCGTTATCTGGAAACACTGAATTGAATACAGAATTATTTCAAAATAGTTTGAATTATGAACGACAAAACGTAAGGTTTCTTTTCGGACCATTTAATCGTTAATTTGATTAAGAGATTCAAAATAGTTTAACCCCGCCATAGAGAGTTACACTAGTACAACACAATTAAATAACATTCTTAAATGCGAATACCTGTTCTTGAAAGGTTTTTAAAAACAATAGATTTTTTTATTGATTTGAAAATTACTAATTATGTGTAAGTTTATTACACAGGTAAAAATTTACCATTTTAATATAGTTATTATTTTATATGTACATTTGTTTTTTTTGAAGTTATACTTCTTGTGGCGCGTTAGGGAAAAATGATGAGAGTAAATTTTTACGATGCGCGCGCACACCGTCACAAAAAACCGACACCCTGAATATCTGTTCAAACTTCGGTAAAACAGTCTGGGCCGCTAGTTGGCGTAAGCTATGTTTCATCGACAAGTTGCATTATCTGTCATGGCGTAGTGTTTTTCAGAGTCGTTTTTATTTAAACCAAAATAATGATTTCTCTACGAGAAAACCCGTTCCAATGTGATTAAAAACAGTGTTTATTGTAAAATATCATGATTAGTATATATTATATCGTTTCGATTCGAAGTGACCATTAAAATGAACAAGAAAAATTCGTAGGAGGGAAACGTCCCTCAAAGTGCTCTAAGAAAATTATTACACCAAAGAGTAAACTTCTAACGCGTGCTAACTGTACACATTTTTTCTTATGTAATTATTTTAATTTACGGTGTCTCTAAATTTTGCAATAAAAATACTTATTTTAAGAGTTACGAAATTCTTTTTTACATAAAAAATTCCGCCGCCCACACACTCTCAATGCCATATAAATCGCGAGTGCGTTGCCGGCCTTTTGATCGCATTCAATAACCTGTACTATTTGAATTAAAAGTTCAAAAAGGCTACGAAAGTAGTGACAGTGTATCGGAAGCACAATAAAATATTGTCAGAAATAAACGATTGTTTTAAATCTTAAATTCGGCACGTACCGGGTCCCCGGTGTTGCGTAGAATAGATAAAATCGTCTTCCACATAAGATATTCAAATCCCTTAAGTGCACGTTGCGGTTGAATTGCGAGAAAAAGTCCCATTTTGAAGCGTTGTAAAACTCTTTATTATTCCAGCTCTGCAGGTATTCCGAGATATACAACGAAAACGGTCCTGACGTTTATACGGCTCGAAGCCACTTAATGCTTATAATCTCCACAAAACGGTGACACAATGAATAGTTGCAGAATAACTAGCATTTTACGACAATCCCCCAGTTCCTGATATATACTGTGTTATAAAATTTAACGTTGAAAATATTCACGTATCTACATTGTAATGTCATATTCGGGCTTAAGAGACGCCGCTGGCATAGTAGACGGTCTCACTGCGAGTTTTTACGACGCCATAAATTTTTAACATCACAAAAAAGTCTGTCTTTTGGCTCGAAGAGAGCAAAACGAAATACATAAGAGACTTACGACGCGAATATTTAATAGTCATTTGGTAATGCTTTTGTTTACGTAAATCAAATCGATTTACAAGTAACGTTAATGTTTTGCAAACACAAGTTTTTTAGCAAGAAAAACATGCATAATTTACAGATCCAAATCGTATGGTTAATTTTTATCGAAGATTGCTCGTAATAAACGCAAGGCATAAACAAGCTGAACACGGTACAGCGCAGCCAATTTCGATAGCTCCAATTTTTCTTTATTTCAAATTTATTAGTTAGTCCAGCTTCGTTCACAGATTGCGCCATTTATCATCGTGAAAGCGTGTATCAGCGAGTGTATTCGAGCATTAATGGCGGTACAAACCCGAGTATTATATGATTTTTCCAGCAAACCGTACAAACGTACGAGTCAACTTTCCGCGTCATTTGGCTTGGCCCTAATGGATTGCGAACAGAGTTGTTGTCTCGACAAAGGTTTTTGCAGACAAAGTATAATGATGCGTAGATAAGGCCCTTTTTTGTTCCGAAGATAACGCAGAGGCGATAGGAGCCGCGACCTAATTCCTATTTGGCTTGATTACTCAAAGACGCGGCGATTACTCGCTCGGGTTCTGACGTGTAAATCATATGAAATCCACGTTCTTTTTGTATAGACGAATCGGGTAACAATATTTCTTTTAGCGTGATATATTTTTAATTTAAACTATGCCTTATAAAAGAGCAGTGTTGGCCTAGTAGCTTCAGTGTGCGACTCCCATCCCTGAGGTCGTAGGTTCGATCCCCGGCTGTGCACCAATGGACTTTCTTTCTATCTGCGCATTTAACATTCGCTCGAACAGTGAAGGAAAACATCGTGAGGAAACAGGCTTTCCTTAGAAATAAAAGTTGACGGCGTGCGTCAGGCACAGGAGGCTCATCACCTACTTGCCTATTAGATACCTATATACCTATACCCTAAAAAGGTTGTAGCGCCACTGATTCTTATTATTATTATAAAATGTACACTGTATTCTTTTCTAAAAATATATGCAACTGGGGTAGAGCAATTAAAGTTTATTGCTCTATAAAAGTTATAATCGCATACCTGTTTACACAAATAAAGGCTCGCGCTCGTAGCATTAATGAGATTATAAAACTTTTAGATCCCCTCATATCTATATCTATGGTGTTTTTCCCATTCGTAGTTTTATCTTTTACGTGGATCAGCAAAATTGGCTAACTTGCAACGAAGTCGATTTATCAAATAGTATGCTCAACTTTTTTCATAGAATATCTTGCTTGCGTCTTGATCTTACACAAACAAATAGTTATATTATAAAGAGTTAGGAATACATAGTTTTTGTTATTATATGTCGTATTTGTAATGTAATAATAATAATAAAGCCTTATTTTATAATAATAATAATTTATTTATTGCAAGAATATGGTATAAAATGTTAAGGTGATACAATCGTAAATCGTTCGCATATTCAGCCACACACAATGGCGCGCAAATTTGTCTTAAGGAATTTAACATTATTAGTCAAAGTCAATTCTTATATTATCTAGTCTATTATAATATTATATACATTACATCATTAATTTTATATTAATGACGGTGTTTCACGCAAATAATCATTTATTGAATAGTGCATTTTTTTTAAAAGTAATACACTGAGTCGCTTTTTAAAGACTCTAGACGGAAGATCTTTTAATTCTTTTGGTAATTTATTGTAGACTGCCATACAAAAGGTGTTTTTCCGCAACAGTTCCAGATTGATTTTTGGCACAGCCAATTTCATATATTCGACTTAAAAATATGTATGTTTCTGTTTCTCCATATCCTTAATTTCTATTTTAAATGTTGTTTGATTGTTAGTATTTAACGCTAAATTTTAGTAGTAAAATGTTAGTCGCCTGTGGATATGACCCCCTCTTGTGTAAAGGCCTCCTCCAACCCTTTCCAAATGCTATCTTTGCCAATAGGTGTACAGTCTTTTCCTACTATTTCTATTAAGTCATCAGCCCACCGACTTTTTGGCATGCCCACTCTTCTTTTCTCGGGTCCCTTCAATTGTCTTGTCTTTAAAATCTATCTTTTGTCCAGGTATCGTGTTACCAGCCTAGGCTTGAATGTACCTAAATAAAATATATTTTAAAGTAAAGTTATATTACTTTTATTAATAAATAATACTTTTGACTACATATGAAATTTGAATTGATATATTCTTGAACATACGCCTTTATCCCAGGTGTTAAAATTGTTTAAAGTGATCGATTTTTATCACTATTAATAAAACAATGTTTGTTCCAGCTGTTCGGATTGTCTATCTTCGCACTATGTTTGTGGATATGCGTGGAGCCAGGATTCAACGAATGGATGAAGATACTTGAGTTACAGAAGTTCTTCATCGGTATCTACATCATACTTATCGGAACTCTTGGTATCATGGTCGTAGCGTTCCTTGGATGTGGTTCAGCTTTGATGGAAAATATTAAATTGCTTTATATGGTAAGTAGCGGAACACGTTTAATTTTAATAATATGTTTTATAGAAGCGTCAATTTTAGAAAGCCTTACTTCTATAATTATTAATTACCTATATTATTATAAACTAGCTGCCCCCGCCAACTTCGTTTTGCCTTAATAAGATTTTTTTTAGAACATTTTTCTATGCTACCCCATAGCGTTTTTCATGCAATTTTTCCAATTTTTCTCTCTACTCTCCCTTAGAGTTCAAGGAATACTCCAGATTTGATCCAGACGTCTTGGAGTTTTGCACTTAGCAACATAATTTGCGATTCATTCATTTTACAGAATTATCAAAAAGTTTATAAAAAAAACGGCTTCAGACGGTTAAAAAAAAATATTTTCATTTCATTATGATACTCGTACTTGAGTAAAATAAATGTCCAAAAAGTTGAAATATTCTGTTTCAAAAATCATTTAAAAATTAAATATATTCTTGACACGAGATAAACATCTCAATTTTGTTTTCTAGTATATAGCTTCACAAATAGGTCTGTTTGTCTTCGGCCTCGTCGGAGCCTGTGTTCTACTGGACTTCTCAACTTACGACTCTAGTATCCAGCCCATTATTAAAGATGTGCTTGTTCGACTCATTAATAATCCAATGCATGAGGGCAGCCGAGAAATTTTGAGGATGGTACAAGAAGGAGTAAGTATTAATATTACATGGCGATCATTTATTCATATAGGTACCGAACTATTCACTTATAATATAGGTATCGCTAGGCGTGCCCTCCAATAGGCCACATCTCACTTAAAACACACACTTCACTTGTATAAAAAACTAGCAGACCCGGCAAACTTCGTTCCGCCTTACAGTCAAATAATATCGTGTTAACTTTAGCTAAACTTAATTTAGGATTTCATTAGGGTAATAACATTAATACAACGTATTTGCAAATACAGAAATGTTTTATTGCTTGCAATTGTGAAAAAATAATGCCAGTTTTACACATTAGGCCTCTTCTCTCTAGCGCCAATATTGCGAAACTGCATGTTAAAGCACTTTCTGATAAACAACATTTTTTGATTTGTTATCCGGCGCAAGAACAAAGTGGTAGGTTTATTTTATATGCGTAATTTTGTCAGCAGATGGCACCACATGCATTGTAAAATTTTGCATTCGTAAAATTAATTTATTAATTTATTTTTTAACTTATCCGATATTTTATTACTTATTCTGCTATTCGGAGCGGAGAAGAATTCACCAAAAAAGAGATAACTAACATCGGTCCAGCCGATCTTGAGTTATAAGTGGTGTAACTAACACGACTTTATATATTTAGATTATAAAAACAAACTTCAATAGTACGTCATAATTAATCGAGCATTTTTATCGAAATATCTCGGTTATCAAGTATTACTAACAACAAGTTTGCGATACAAACAATTTCGTGTTTTACACAATATTATATTTATAACAGAAATTAAAAATAGCTGACTCAGAATTCTAATTAAGATGTAACACGAAAAAATAGGTCTAACATATCTACAGAGAACAATGCAATTGATTAGCAAGCAGGCAATCAAATGCTTTCATTCTACGAACTAGTCCAATCAGTGAATCTATCAGGTGAAGAGGCCAATCTGGTGGCAAAAAGTTCGAGCCCCAGAGCATATTTGCTAAATGGACGGTTGACTTCGAAAGAGGCCCGGGGGTCGTCATTTCGTAGTGCACTAATGACGTAGGCCTTCTAAAATTTATTGAACTGGGCCAATTGTATTTTGTAATCTTTCAAATGGATACACTCTACATACGTTAAGTTTCTGAACCGATTTTTCTGTTTTAGCGTGGAATTTCTAGAAAGCAAAGATAAATCTAAAACCGTGATTGTGACGCGAAATATTTTTTAATATTAAAAGATAGATTTAAATTAGGGTCCTTCAAGAGAAGAGAGTAAAGACAGATCTTAAAAGACCGGCAACTAGTATGAGTCTCAAGTGATGTTATGTGACATGGTTGGTCGTATCCCTGAACATCACGTGAGTCTGCAGTTTACCGTCTAATTTCTATAAAAAAAATAAAGTGGCGGAAACAAATTATGTTGTTCTGAGTTATACTGCGCTGCTCGTGTGTTCAGTAACCCACACAAAAAAGCGTGAGAGAGAATGAGAATAATTATTTTTGTCAGATTGGTTGTTGCGGTGCTGATGGTCCCATGGACTACCTCAACCTGAACAAGCCTCTGCCCTCTGAGTGCCGTGATTCTGTGACCGGAAATGCCTACTTCCATGGATGTGTTGATGAGCTCACTTGGTACTTGGAAGGAAGAACCGGTTGGCTAGCTGGCATTGTTCTTGCCTCTTGCATGATTTGTGTAAGTTTTAGAAATTTTCATTATCCATTAGAACAATTTAAACATGGGTTTTCTGCCGGATGTCAATATCCGGGTTTTCGGTGGAACAATGCTTTTTACGGGTAGGCATATAAATGCTTTTTAAATAAAATATATTAGGTCATTACATATGAAATTGGCGTTTTGTATGGGAGGAACAAAAAGTCGAATATTTTTAAATATAATATATTTAATTAATCAAAGTATGAACCACTGTTTTCTATGCACTTTTGCCATCTCATAGGTAGTTCATTTATCCCTTTACTAAAAAAAACCAATCGGACGGGAATCAATAAAATCTGTGAAGGCGATTTGGACTGCCCCATCAGAGTTAAATTTTTTCCCTTGCAAGAAGTTGTCCAAATTTCGAAAAAAATGGTTATTTTCTGACGTTCATAAGTGTACTTGTTTACCGATATGAATAAAGTTATTTTGAGTTTGAGTTTGATTAAGGGACTTGAAACTACAACCTTCCAATGTAAACTAATACATGCGAAACTAAGTCAAAATCAAAATCATTTATTCATATAGGTAGTGTACAATGTACGTATGTCTATGTCTAAATGCTTCTAATTTTACATTTACTGCCAGTTCTCAAATCAAATGCGTAGAACTGAAGAGAAGAACTGGCAATAAACTCTCCGCCATTCTTTTTAATAGCCAAGTTTTTTGTTTTGTGAGGAGCTGCAATCATGTGCAGTTGTTTGTTTCACGCCTTTTCTAACAATTTGTAATTTTTTTTAATTTGGTCTAATCGTAGTAAGTGACTAACTCTACGGCTCATATATATAACAAATTAGTACCAAACGAATATGGAAGCTGTCAACAATAAAACTTATTTGATAATTCAACTAGTCTACTGGAGAAAACGCCTCAATTTGATTTTCAATAGTAGATAATTAACACTTTTTTATTTCAGGTCGTAAACTCTGTGATGTCTCTCGTCCTTATTCAAGCAGTGAAGAAAGAGGAGGAAGAAGCGATAGCTTATAAAAATTAATTAAATTTAATAAAAATATAGGCTAAGATTATTATATTATTATTTTAGATGTGACATTAATCGCATTTTAATTATCCACCGTTTTATAATAAGTGTATTGAATAAATTTCTAAACACCCAATCGTATTTTATTGCTACTCTCTTCTTATTGTTTGAAAACCTTTTTACTATAATAACGCCAAGCATATTATACTAATATTTTTAGGTTTTGATGAATCTATGTTTTTTTATTCTCGGTTAAATATCCTAACCACTTCTTAACTCTTTATTATCGACTAAGTACTGTTGTTATCACAAAAGATTACATCACCTTCAAACGGCAATTTAATTAAATACTTTAAACCAAGAATGATTTAGGAGTTAACGTATATTTTTCTCATAATTTTATAATATTGTATTCTTACTCTCAAAAATGCCACATGTTAATAAGTAAGACACAATACATGCAAATGTAGAATAACATCAGAATTTACAAATAAGGAGAGGTGAGAATGTAAAACAAAAGAAGAAAGATATAACGTTGCGCTCGTTTGTGATTGGTCGTAATAACGCAACATGTCGCGTGTCAACGCGTTTTGAACTAGTGATGCTGCTGACCAATGACAATCGCCCCCCAAGTCGATGCGCTAAGATTCATCATCCATGCAACTTCCTCGCAGCTTGATATATCGCGGCACACGACAGCACCGAACCTGAAGAAGTTGGATAAGTCCGTCAACAAACACAAGTCGTTCACAAATATTTTCGTTACAGATACAACAGAAAAACTATAATTAAAATATTTCGGCCTTGGTCGTGTGATTGAGAACCGGTAGATTCTTTATTCCAGTGGAGAAAAACGTCCTACCAGCTTATCTTAGTTTCGACTACATACATGTAGCCAGTGGCTTTATATCGTTGATTGGACGCAATAAATTGGATTACCAAAAGCCAGTAGACGATTAAACGGGCTGTGGGAGTTAATCAAAAATATCAATTACTTAAACATTATACAACTGTATCGCATTGAAATGTAAAATATTACACCAATATCGCATATGAAACATTTGCCACATTTAGTATGAGCGGAATGTCTGTTATCAAATTTCATTGAACAATTAAAACTAACGTTATCAATAAGGTAGCTCGCACTATCGGAAATGAGTTTCCATTCGAACATGTATGGATACTTTAAATTTATGCAAGTCGCGGCTTTGTTGAGCTGATAATTCCTATATTAGTTTGATTTCTAAGTTTATAGGGGTCGGGTATAAGGGGGTAGGGGGTAGTAAAATAGAAAGATCTTTGGGGTGTATCTGTATTCGTTTTACAATCAGTAATCAATGCTATCAGTTCAGAGTTAGATCCGTGCTTCTATTTCACCATGCCTCCTGCTGATAGAGGACAAATCTTTGTTTTTAATTTATTTTATTATTATTTATTACTTAAGATGTCATGTGGAACATGGTGTAATGGTTGTTGCTCCTTACAAACTTGTAAAACAAAAAAACTCGGCGATTGAAAAGAGTGGCGGAGAGTTTATTGCCAGTTCTTCTCTTCCGTTCTACGACCTTGATTTGAGAACTGGCAGTAAATGTAAAATTTGACGTATATATTTTTTTGACGCTCATAAGTGTACATCGTGTTACCTATATAATTTTAATAAATGATTTTGACTTGACTTGACTATAGATTAATAATCATAATAAATACTAGCGAGATATCCCGGCTGCTTGCTCGAAGCCGGGAAGTCGATATCCCGGCTTCGAGCAAGCAGCCGTGACTCGTAAAACTTGAACAATTATATACCTTCCTCATGAATCATTCTAGATATTGGTGAAAACTGCAATAAATTCTGTGCAGCACTTTTTAAGTTAAGAGACGCCGACGCCTTGTTTTTATATATTGCAAAAAGAACACATATAATGTCAATGCCCTAAAACTCTCTCCTTAACGCAGCGTTCGTTAGAGACGTTTTCATTCGACTGTTTTTTCTCTGGGCGTCCGCCGTCCAGTGTTAATTTGACAATACAATACGGTCCGACGTGTGTCACGAAAAGCAATATAACAAAAAATCTTATTTTATTTTACTCGTATAAACGGAGCAATCCATTTACAATCGTCGTTTTTTTTTTTTAAATGGCTCTGGCACGATTTGTGCATTAGCCAGCGTCAAGTATAGGATTTTTTATAATTCGTGCTTGTCTTTAGAAATTCGACCGTGTCCTCCATGTACGGTTTAAGGCACTCGCCCGGTACCGCACAACCCTCCCAAAGGCCGAGAACAAATTTAAATTAAATTAAAACTTGCCCTCGAACCGGGAATCGAACCCGGTACCCCTCACCTAGCTGCCACTTAATAAGACCGCTAGGCTATGAGGCCCCTCCCAGTCGTCTATTGGACTGACTGAAAGCTAGACGATTCTCTTTCCAAAATTCAATTTAAAAATAGAATGCCGAACAACTTTATGAAAAAATAAAACCACCGTACGGCTGTTAAAACACACCGAACAAAAGACTATCGTACAATGCATCAATACAGTTTGCTCGTGGAATCAAATAAAAACAATGTTAACCGTGAAACACGGATTCTTCACTTTTGACGGTTCCGCTCTACACAGCAGTCCATTTCCTTGACATAACAACCAGCGTCGGGACGGAAGGCGCCCGTTGCCTGTATGAATTTATACAGATGCATTGAACCAACATAACGAGACCCCTCATAGATCGCACAACTATAAGACCGATATAAATTGATCCCTCAATCTTAGACATGGCAAATAAAATGAAAAGGTATACCGACGTCTTCCCATTTAAAGAGCTCTTGATACATTTGACGGTTCGGTGAAAAGACAAGTATGTTATCGCTTCATTTGCTTCTCTAATTGTACTCAATCCTAGCTAGATTAAAAGGGGAAATGTATATGAATTGTTTGTTATTGACGTTGATTTTATGCTAAAAAGAATTCGTAAAAACCTCATCAGTTCTATAGCAAAATTAAAATTAAAACCATCAATAAGTACTGTGAAACAGTGTTAAAAGGCTGATTTTGTTATTTATATGTTTTATTTACGTATATTACTGAAGATAAAAGTTGAGCAAACTTTAAAATACACTAAAAAAGTATTAAATAACAATTTTTCTTATTTCTATTGATTGGTCTTGTCACCAAGAGAATTAAATGTTTATTTATTTATTTGCTCAACGGTATTCCTACAGCTACTTATTAAACAATATTCAAACAATTACACTGTACACAAAGGCCCAAAACGGAATACACATTTAAAGATACACAAAGCACAGTTTCACCTATGCAAAAACAAAATATACAAAAAATATACTTATGTATTTATTATAAATTCTAAGTTCTAAGATTCATTGTTCATTATAAAATATTTTTTAAAACATTTTTTAAACATTTTTTAGTTACATTAAATATATCTAATGCACTGCAGGTAATTTGTGTTATAATCTGAAGGTATACGATACATGACTGAGTTACGTAAATAGTTTGTATTAGACCTAGGAATTTTAAATAGTTGGGTAGTTGTTTTAAACGATAATTTATTTATTTATAATCGAGCTATGAAGTTCATATAGTTGGAGTTCCAAATCCACGGATGACGTATATATGTTACAGTTAACACTAGTTTTTAGTTAAAACTCGTTTTCCCTAGTTAAAAATAGTTTTTACTAAATGCCTTTGTCAAAACTAGAAATAACAAGTGAAAACTAGAATTTACCACTGATACAATTAATTTTCTGATAAAACTAGTTGTCACTCCGAGCTTTAGTTACAACTAGCACTAGAGAAACTAATTTGAATTTTGGGATTGAAAACAAGATAAAGTTTTAAAAATATTTATTAAAAAGATCTAGGGTATAGAAACATAGTACCGTACCTACTAAAAAAAACTTACACTAAAGGAACATTTTAGGGAATATCAGCATAAAGTAGTTGCCAAGGTGACAACATTAATTAAAAGTAAATAAAATAATCAAACAAATCAACAGAATACAACCATAAAATTTAAAAAAGGAACATTATAATAATATTTTTAAGGGATATTGGTAAACATACCTACAATAAAAAAATAATCAAAGAACCTTAAAATTAAAAAAGATGACGATCTACTTGTTATTGCAAGACAAACTATCGTGGCATTTTGAATTACAAAGGTAGCCATTTTTCTTGCAGAGACACCTTTTTGACATACATCCTTTCTTACATACGCAGCGCATAAATCCCTGGCCTGTTCCTATGGATGCTTCCTTAGCAACAGTTCTCAAAGGTAAATTTGTATTCGGAACGTCTTCTTCATGCAAAAATTTTTCTTTGCACTTGTCGAATTCTGACCTGAAAAGCAATATTTAAATAGTTAGCTTTTACCTAAAGGCAATATAATTATATGATAAATCAATTAAGCAACACATAGGTAGGTACATACCTGCAACATAATTTGTCGAGCATTCCATATACATAGTAATGTTTCTATACCCTAGATCTTTTTAATAAATATTATTAAAACTTTATCTTGTTTTCAATCCCAAAATTCAAATTAGTTTCTCTAGTGCTAGTTGTAACTAAAGCTCGGAGTGATAACTAGTTTTATCAGAAAATGAATTATAGCAGTGGTAAATTCTAGTTTTCACTTGTTATTTCTAGTTTTGACAAAGGCATTTAGTAAAAACTATTTTTAACTAGGGAAAACGAGTTTTAACTAAAAACTAGTGTTAACTGTAACATATATAACGACCTCCTTCACTTTTTGAAGTTATACTTCTTAGAGGCGCGTTATGAAAAATTGATGAGAGTGATTTTTTATTTTGAAGTCGCTTGAAAACTCTAACTAATCTGTATCAGACTTTTAATCCCATTATAACGACGAAAATATTGCCATTTGACTTATGACTATTGAAAATACAGAAAAGGCTACAATTGTTCATGAAAACGTCGAAATGCTGTCCACACTTCCGGACAAGGGCTAATATCCTGTGGAGCAATGTTTATAGGCAACAA